ATATATCCAGTACATTCCAGAGTGCTGCGTGTTCACAGCGCTCCCTACATCACATTGATTCACATTGATGAAATGCAGACCCAGTCATCTCCCCAATAGCGATGTGTCATCTTCAACGTCAACATCACATATTGAAGTAATGATGTTTGCTCGTGTATCGTATATCATGGACGTTCGTTCGAATGCAGCTGTTACAATGGCACAGATCAAGGACATTTACAGTACGAGTTTTAAACCGAGAATGAATAGTATCATTTTTGTATCACAGACCATGGACATTAATTCAAATGCAACTGCGGAAACGAATGGTAATCCATTTGTATCGCAGATCATGGACGTTTACTGTAAGCGCGACTAAGAAATTGAACGGTATTTTATTTTAGACCCAACCACGCATAAATACTCACTAAACAGTAAAATTTCCTCTCCAATTTTATCCGTGACAAAGCAAGTACATTCATGGCCCCTCCGATATTCTTGTAATGGCCTCTCCGATATTCTTGTAGTGGGCAAAGCTTACTAATGTTATCAGTTTATTTATGGTATGTACTATCATACACCAATTTAGTGGAGTGTTCTCACACAGAAAATTATCCCTGTCCTCCAGAATTTCAGTATCGGGGAGAAATGGGCTGTAGTGGCCTCTCCGATATTCTTGTAGTGGGCAAAGCTTACTAATGTTATCAGTTTATTTCTGGTATGTACTATCATACACCTATTCAGTGGTGTAGTCTCACAAAGAAAATTATCCCTGTCCTCCAGAATCACAGCATCGAAGAGAAATGGGCGCCATTGAATTCATCTTCATCGTCTCCGCAGTGCACGTACATGACATCGTCAACCACTACTTGGCGATGCTGGGCCAGGTATACAACTTCTCCCAGGACTGTGTACTTCATTAGAATCTATTCACAGATTGAAAATATACAAGTATTAAATAGAAATATTGAGGTGCAAACGAAGTACAAGCATGAAGAACCCACAGTAGAGATCCCCGGACACGCACATATTATGGCTGTGGAAACCATCGTACGGACTATATATAAAAATTCGAATGTATGTTCTACGGCTATGACCGCGCCAATTGAAAGGGTGTACTCAACAATTTTATCTATCATTGAATTGGAGCGCTCCTACATACATGAGACGGTGCAGGAACTCAAAAACAGGACAATTGGTATGTACTGTGACTATGATACGCCGCGCGGTGGAGACTCTATCTTAAGCTCCAGACTCGAATATATATTTTGACCGATATACACAAACACAGATACCTCGCATATTGGCATTAACCATTAAAGTGTAGGATGATGCACGAGATTAGAATAGGCTTTGTAAGGATAACAACGACAATCAAGAACTGCCGCTAGCGTAAAAACATAACTACACGCATATGTCAGAATTGTCAATGACTATGCACCTCGGATACTTTAAGCATAAATACCAAAAACCTAATTTAAAAAAAACCGATGTCTATGCTACTTTACCTGCGCTTGGATAGTGTACACATATCTATACACACAGTAACTTTATATATATACATATACACGTACATGTGTCAACAAAAAAAGTACAAAACAGTATTGCAATACATATATACACATATATACACATAAATAGACATAT